GGGAGGTAGATATTTTGAAATTTTATACATCTGGAAATGGATATATCCTATCTTTTGACCTGACTGATAGCTTGGAGGGGTATGGATTCTAGTTTGAAGGTACATTTTCTTCAGCATTTTGAAAGCATTGCTTTTGACTTCTGTTGTTGCTGTTGAGAAATCCAAAGCCTTTCTGGTACCTAATCCTTTGTATGTTACTTGGTTTTGGAAAATTCTAGACACTTTTCTTTAATTTGCCTTGATGTGAGTTTGTTGTTGTCTAAAGTGCTGGGTCCTAGTGGACACGCTTTTAATGATCTGACAACTCATGTCCTTCTGTTCTGGAAAATTTCCTCAAATTAGTTCAGTGAGGATTTCTTTCTTTCTTTCTTTTTATTTTCTTTCTTCCTTCCTTTCTTTCTTTTCTTTGGTTCTTTCTTTCTTATTGGAGCTTCTTTTAATTTAGTGTTGAACTCATGCAGCTGTCCTCAAATGTTTTTATCTTTTGTCTTCTATATTTTGTTAGTATGGTTGCTTTATTTCCTAGGGGATTTAATCAGCTTTATTTTCCCATCTTTTTACTGATGTTTTGTTTCTGCTGTCATGATTTTATTTTTCAAGACATTAATTCTTGCTGTTGCTATGTTCTGGTTGTCCCTTTGTATAGCATCTTGCTCTTGTTTTATGGATGCACTGTCTTATCTCTCTAATATTAACAATTTAATAAACAGTGTTTCCCCATTGAGAACGATATTTGCTGTGCTAGTACTATGTGGAATAGGAGTAGTGAGAGTGGACATCCCTGTCATGTAAAAAACACCTTTTTAAACACTTGCTTCTCTCTCTGTATAAACTGTTTCCTGCAAGTGACTTTTCTTATTGTTTGTTTTCTCAATTTGCGTTGAAAATTTCCTGGATGTCTGGTAATCTTTGGCCATGATTAAGGTTGTGGAGGGTGAGAGGGCTAGTCAAAAACCCTGAGCCAATTCACAGGCTGGATTCACCACTGTAGGGTGATCTAGTTGGGTTGTTTGGAAGGAAACCTCTATGTCAGTATCTTTAGGTCTTTCCTCGGGCTAGTGAAATACCCCAGTGTAGAGTCTTCCAGTTTTCTGCCTAAAGGGCAAAGGTCCTACTCCCAGCTCTTTGGGAGCCCAACAGTAGGAGAAGGCTAGGGGCCTCTGGTCTCTTAATCTCCTGGTTTCCAGTATTTTCAGTATGGCATCTCGGTTCACAACGGCGTTCAAAGCTTCTCCAATCCATATACCCTCTATCTTACCTTCCTTCAGAGAAAATCTTCCAGACCCTGGCTGGGATAGGCAAGGGACTTGAAGCCCACTGGCTTGGAGTTAGGGAAGGTCCAGGGATCTAACTGCTTTTCCATCCTGGCCCTTACTTTAGCAAACCTATTCCACAGCTCCAGAGGGACCTTAGCTTGCCAGTTTCTGTGTCTTCTGAGAACCTTGCAATGTAAATCAAATTGGCTCTCCATTTTCCCCACTGCCAGCTGAGATGTCTTTTTCCTCAGGGCTGATAAGTCAGTAACCATATGGCTGTCTGCCATCCTGCTTCAAAAATTCTGTGGCTGTTGTCTGTTTTCCTGTTCTTTCCATCCCTGAGGATTTATCTCGTGATTTAAAAATCTCTTTATTGAAGTTTTAGTGGGGTTTTGGGAGGGACTGAAATTAGATATATGCATTTAATCACCATCTTAACCCAGAACCCTAACTTCCCTTTTCAATATATTTTTTAAAATATAATTCCTGGGAATAACCCTACTTGGTCATGGAAGATTGCTGTTTTAATGTACTGGGGTATGTTTATTTCTGTCTTTCCATTTAGAAGTCTTTAAGTGAACACGATTAGCAGGAAATGAACCTTTCTATGAGGAGGATTCAAGGGAAATGTCTCTAGCAGGATAACTTTTACTAAGTATATGAAAGAAAACCAGAGGCTGGATCCCAGTATGTAGCCTTCAGGAAGCCCCTAATGGATTTGGGGGAATTCCCTACTGGAAGAGGGATCCTATAGTAATCCCAGAGGGTGCATCCAGGGAATGCCCTTTGCAATGTTTTGTTTAGGGACCCAGAATAAAACCAGACTTCATCACTGACATTCCCTGGAGAGGAAGTCAGTTGGTTGCCTGGTTGAAGGAATTCTGTGATTAAAAAAAAAAAAAAAAGGGTGAGTCCTAGACACCTTTCTGTGGGCAACTCATTGCCCACGTGGAGCCCATAATTATTATTATTATTATTATTATTATTATTATTATTATTATTATTGTTATTCACTTAGCTGATATTCACTGAGCACCTACCCAGGGCATCGCTTTATGACTGTGAGCTCTCTGACTGAGACAGAACTTGCCCTCAGTAACTCAATGAGCAGCACCCCCCAACCTTAGAACTCAGCAAGAGAGGGGGAAATGGAAAGGGGGCCAGAGTCACATCCAAGGCCATAACGCAGTGACAGTAATTTTTCTCTCTGTGGCTTGTGATGAAAGAGTAAGAGAGGATATTCCTAAAGTATTTAGCACAATGCTTGGCATACAATAGGATGTCTGATTTTGAGGGACAGCTTTATGTGTTACAGGGAATCTCCTGTTTTATGTTCTCCTGATACTTTTAAATACTAGCATTTTTGGAGGAACAGTTGAAGGGATTTAGAGACTGAAGATAACACAAACGAGCTGGAACTACTGAAATCAGTCACTAGGACACCCTAACAGGGTCCATAAAGTATCCACAGTGACCACCCTGCTCGTTTGTCATCTTTAACACTGGGTTAGCCTTGGCCTGGGCTCTCTTATATTCTTGAAGCTGCACACTCTTTGATTTCGCTGTTCTCTTCTCCTCTGTCATTGGAAATGCCTTTTAATCCACCTCTCACAGGCAGCTTAGGCTCACCATTCATTCTTCCTGGCAGACATTTCTGAAACTCTGAGTATTTTTGAGAGATCAGTTTTAGCCAAAAAAAAAAAAAAAAAAAAAAGTTACGCACCAATTGGCATTCTGCAGTTCACCTGTCAAGTGCTGCAGGCACTCCCGTGTAGCAGTACAACTGTTGAAAGCCACCCGGGTGTGGAGAGGGCAGCAGATAGAGCACAGTCTCTGCCAAGCTGCGGAATCTGTGTAATGGGCAACTTCGATACTTTTCTGAGCCTTAATTTACCTGCCTATGAAATGGGGACACCCACAGGCTTGCGGTGAGGATTGACGAGACATCACACCTCCACTCACGGCTTATACGCGCAGGGGTGGTTCTTGCCTGGGTGCCGGCCCGGGGCAGGCTGCCGTGGGCGCGCGCGGGGCTCCGGCCCGCGGCCGAGTGTTCCCCGGGGAAGCCGGGCGCGCGGCTGCGTGCGGTGGGCCGCCGGGGAGAGCGCGGCCGTCGGCGCGGGGCTGCGAGCGACATGCCCGCCCCCGCGGCCGAGTGGCGGCGCGCGGTGGACGAGCGCGCGTCGGGGCGCGGGGCACAGAGGCGGCGGCGCTGGGCGCTGCGGTGCGCGCCCGCGTGGCGGCCCGGGCGGGGGGCGGGGGCGGGGGCGGGGCGGGGAGGGGAGCGGGCGGGCGGGCGGGAGGGAGGGCGCGCGCGAGGGAGGCGGGCGGGAGGAGGGCGGGCGGGCGGTCAGAGCGCGGCTGCCGCGGAGCCCGGCGCGGGCGGCTCTGCCGGGGAGCGGGGCTCGCAGCCTGGAGGCGGCGCCGCGGGGAGGGAGCGCGGGGCGGCGAGCCGGACCGGGCGGGCCCGGGGGACAGCGCTGCGGGCCGCGGGCCGGGCCACACCGGGGGCAGCGTGGCGGCGTAGCCGCGGTCGCCGGGACGTGCCGAGGGGCGTCGGGCGCGACCCAGAGGACCGGCGAGACTCGGCGCAGCGTGGAGCGGCTGGGCGCCCGGGCCGCCGCGACCTCCGGTCCTCGGGGGACTCGGCAGCGGAGACCCGCCTGCGGGAGGGAGCCGGAGGAGCAGGTCGGCGGGTCCGGGCAGGGGGAGAGGGCGAGGAGAGCCGGCGCCGGCGGGCGGGCGAGCGGGTGGGTGTGTGGAGGGACGAGGTGTGTGATGTCTGTACGGAGTGTGTGGATGTGTGCGTGCCTCTCTGTGTGACTGTATATGCTGTGCGTGTCTGCGAGGGGCGTGTGTGTGTGTGTGTGTGTGTGTGTGTGGAGAGAGGGAAGGTTGGGAGCTCATGGAGCTTGGGTCTGAACCCGTGTAACAGGGAGGGCATTCGGCAGAATCGGGTGTGTGTGTGCGTGTACACGTGTGTGTGCAGGGTGAGTGGGTGAGTGTGTCACGGGAGCTAGGTGTGGCCATGTGTGTGATGTAAGGGTGCCGGGTGCACGTGTGTCCCTGGCGTACCCTCCCCTTCCCCCACCAGATGTGTGTGCGTGGAGGGGGTGTTGGGAGGAAGGTCGGACTCCACTGCAGCAGCCCCTTGCCCGGCTTGCCCGCCTTGCCCGCCTGGCCATCTTCCCCGGGAAGCCAGAGCCGGCCAAGGTGCCCCTCCCCCAAACACTTCTAGGGTTAAGGGAAAGGGAGCAGGCCAAGCCCCTCGAAAGAGGGGACAGGCTGAAGGGATCGCTTCTGCCAGACCAGGGCCCCCTGCTTCTCTGGCGGGAGCCTGGCTGCCTTCCCCAGCTCGCCAGATCATCCAGCCCTGGGCTTTGCCCCTCCCAGGGCCCCGTGTTCTCTGGGCTCTGAGTGAGAGACAGTGCCAACACCTTAGCTTAGGGCCCCAGGTGGGCATGGAAGCAGGTTGAGACTCCTCTGTGAGGGTTTGCTTGTTCCCAATTGTATTAGCAGAAGGGGGCTTGGCACATAGTAGGCCTCAATAAATATCTGAGAGTGGACTGGAGGACAGGAGAGAGGGAGGAAAGGGATCTGAGTCTGGGAATCAGCTATCAGGTGAGGATGAGGGCAGCTGGTTGCCATCAGAGCGCAGTCTGGTAGGGGAGCAGGGCTTTAGGGGGAGGGGGGGGAACCCACAGGAGAGAGATCTGTTCTGGGGCCTGAATGGAGGAAGTAGCTGGCAACTCTCCTTGGGCAGAGCCCTTTGCATCCTGCCCCCCACCACCTGCTTCTCTGTGACCAGCAGCCTCTCTCAGGGGGCATCTGGTCTCAGGCAGCCAGGGCTCATAGCGCACCTCTCCTCTCTCCAGGACCTTCAAGTTCAAAAGGTGCTGAAGAACTGAGCCCCTGCCCACTGAGGCCACCCGAGGCCAGGTGGGGCCATGGCAGGGCATAGCTGTCTGGGGCTGGGGCTGTTCTGCTGGGTCCTGCTTGCTGTTCCAGTGGGGCCCCAGCCCGCCTCCTCCGTCACAGGTGTCCCTCTCACCACTCTGACCCCACCACCTCAGAGTGAGGCCTCTATGCTGTCTCTCAACCTGGGACTTAACTTCAAATTCCACCTTCGGGGACCTGCTGCTGCCTGGGCGCTCCCTGTCACAGAGACCCAGCCGCTCTCTTCTGGGCCCAGCCGGGAGCCTGAGGAAGAGGTGGCCAGTGGGCTGAGGACTGATCCCTTTTGGGAACTGCTAGTGGGCTCCCTTGGGAACTCCCCCCCAGAGTGGGGATCTGCTGAAGGCAGCTCTACTCCCTGGACCTCCTCCCTGTCTCCAGAGTCCACATCCCCCATCTCTGGGCCCACTGACCGGCCCACTGCTCCCTATCAGCCCAGGATGGGCACCGTGACCTGGAACACTGCTCTGACAGCTACGGCACCTCCATCCAGTGCTCCCAGGCTCCGCCAGAGCGAGCTGGAGCTGAAGTTTGACATGGCGCTGAGAGCAGGTGCGGCCCCCACACTGGGGCATCGAACGCTGCCCCTGCTGCCCAGCCTGCGGGCCAGTCTGGCAGAGATTGCCGGGCGCCTGGGACCCTTTGGTGAGTACCCACCCCATCTGGAGGAGAGCCCCTGCTGCAAAGCCTGGCAGGTAGGAGGAAGCTTCAGCCTGGGCTCCTTTTGCAGGGTTCTTTGGCACTACTCTGTCCCCACTGCGGAACCTCTCAGGCCCAAGCCCCTTAGGCCCAACTCCATCCCCAAGCTCTGCCTCTCAGGTTTCAGATTCTCCAGGTGAGTGTTTATTTCATTGCAACCAACACTTAGGGAATACTTCTACGTGCCAGGCACTGTGCTTTGGGCCTAATCAGCAACACCCCCCCCCCTTTTTTTGACTCTTTGTTGCTTCTCCTAGGGCCTGGGACACGGGCCACTGCTCCCGTAGGGGAAATGCCCTGTTTGCCATATGGAGTTTGGTTCGGTCCTAGTAGCTTACCTCCAAGGGTACATGTGGCTACAATTCCTGTTTGGTATATAATGGCTCCCTTAGCATAAGCTCTGGGGGAAGGACAGGATTTTCTCCAAAGTCCCAGAAGCCAAGGCTGGCTGGTAGGATGGCACTTGAACCCTACATGCTCCCTTTGCAGGGTTCTTTGGCACCACTCTGTCCCCACCCCCCATCCCCCTGGAGAGAAAGCTCCCAAGCTCAGGCCCGTTGGACCCAGCCGCTTCCCTAAACTCTGCCACGATGGCAACAGCATCAGTAGGTAAGTGTCCAATTCACTTGAACATGACATTTATTTAGCACTTACTGCATGCTAGCCACTCATCTGCGTTCTGGGACTTTTTTATTTCAATGTCATCATAGTCATCATCACCATTCTCTCCTTCGTCACCGTGGAGATATCTATTAACGGTCTGAGAACCAGTGTTGCTGGGGATAGTCCCACACAGAGTTAAGTAATGGTCCTCTGGGAGTTTTGTCATCCCAGGCAGAGCAGGATGTAGACAGATGTATCAGAGGCAGACAGATACAGGAGCTCCTTCATGGTTCCCACAGTCTCGGTACCAACTCCACCCTTCACGCCAGCCTGCCTGGCCTGCCTCTCCACCCCCTACTCCAACCTTGGGGCTCTCGCCTTTGCTGTGTGATATGACATGACATGTTGTCAACCTGAGCAGAGCTGGGCCCCTCATGGGAAGATGTGGAAGAGAAGACTGTGAGGAGATAGATGCCACCCTTATTCAAGGGAACGCTTCAGAATATGCACATAGACAAGCTGGTGGTGCAGAGGAAAGAGTAGGGGCTCTGGAATCTTGAGACTTGGTTCAGAATCCCAGCTCACTTCCTAACTGGCTGGGTGACCTTGGGCAAGTTATTGAACCTCTCTGACCCTGAATTTTCTCATATATCTAGGGTTTAATGATAGCACCTATTTTGTTATTGTGAAGGTTCCAGATAACACAAGCTCTTGGCAAGAGGCTGGGCATGAAGTTGAAGTTTATTAAAGAGTAGCTGTTAATCGTGGTTTTTTCCCTCCTGCATCCCAAATACACTTCCAGACCCTCCTGCTGGAGCACTGCACCCTTGGCCCCGAGATGTGATGGACATCACAACCCACATGGCAGAGTGCACACTCAGGGAGAGGCTGTGGGAGGGGAGGCCCAGGGAGCCATGGAGAGGGACCTCCAGGCCCAGCTTTAGTTCTGCAAAGCCTTTCCTGTTGCTGTGAATCCTCTTGGCCACTTCACAGTGGGAACCAGCTCCTCTAGCTTCTTCCAGTTCTAGACTTAACACAGAAACTGACTCTGGCTCACTCCCCATCAGTCGCTGCACTTTTGGGTCTGCGGGGATTGGGGAGGGGGGGGCTGCTGATCCCTCCCCATCCAGCCTAGTGTGTAGCAGTGGCAGGGTCTGCTGTAGGGTGGGAAGGGGCAGGCTCTGTGGCCCCAGGGGAAGGATGTTGGCTGGCGGTCTGTCAGCCTGGGTGACAGTGCTGGCCAGGCAGGTTTAATGAGTCTGGACAGTATCAGAGGAAGCCCAGCTTGCTGCCCTACCTCCTCCCCCCTCTCACTGATGGTTGCAGAAACTCAGCCTCTTCCTGGTTATTTCTCTCAGATAAACCCAGGAGGGCCAGAGGCTTCTTGGTGAGGTCAAGGGCCTTGCTCAAGCCAGCAGCGTGTGTAGGGAGTAGTGTTAAGCACTTAGGGGACAAAGTGAGGCTCTGTGTGTCTCCTCTAGGGTCTTTCTAACCTAGGTGTGGTTAAGCTTTGATTCTAGGGCTTCTCTTCTCTTGCATTAGGTTCCTTTCACCTTGGACAGAGCTAGTATTCAGCTGGTATACTCCAGGAGAAGTTGTGCAGGTTATTAACATATTGAAAGACTTTGAAACCAGTTGAGAAGTACCCACTGGCCTTCACCCCCTGAGCACTCCCCTCCACTCCCTGACCACCAGGGCTGATGTCTGTTCTGATTGGCTGCCATCTGTGGCATTTACAGTTGTTAAATATTTTGAATATCTGTTACCCTGACAAAGAGGATCAATCTTCCAGGATCCTAGAGGTGGGGGTTGGGAGAGGAATGGGGCCAGGCAGCTGAATGGGCTATAACTTCTACTGGGAGAGTGGCTTCCCAGGCCTTTGATCTGGGCAGCTGGTAGATAATCAGGCCTGACTTTCCAGAAATCTAGCAGGCCCCCCTCCCTGACTCCTCCCCAGCCAGCTGTGACCTCACCAATTACTAACATTGACATCCTATCTCCTTTCTTGCCCCTGAGGTCAAGAGGGGCCACAGGCCCAGAGTGGGACCACCTTGTAAGAGAAGGCTGCTCAAGAGAGGGATCCTAGGAACTCACTATCATCTGGGCTCTTCTTGGGGAGACTGAGGACTCCTTCTGGGGAAGCCTCAAGTAGGGAGATGGGATGAGGTCAAGCGGATTCTTCCAAGGCAGAAGCTGGGTCTTCTCTGCCTGTTTACACTCACAACATGGCCAGCCCTGGGTACACAGGGCATGCCTGCCTCCCCCCAGAAAGCAATGCTCCTACTTCAGAACTGCCCCCTCCGAGACCTGAGTTGTGCCTGAGGTCTACTTTGTCTATTTTCTGGTTTTAATTTTTTTTTTCTGGCTTAGAAATGTTAAAAATTTGCTCTAGTTGCCATAGTGCTTGGGGAAAGAGGTGAGAGATAATGTGTCTTGTGACCCTCAGGTAAGAAATGGAGCTGGAAGAAGGTAAGGTAGACCAGATCTCTGATAGCTGCAACTTGTCTGCTCAGTGAGCAAAGAGGAGGCTGTGAGGGGTGGCAGTCTGTCTGGCTCAGGCTGTGGAGTTCCTGGGCACGGTCCCATTGCCTTTCTGCAGAGCCTGCCAAAGTGGGGGAAAAGCCAAGCAAACTCATCCACTTTGCAGAAGTGGGTTGGGCAAGAGCATCTGAGGGGACAAAGGAATGAGGTTGATGGAGGGGGTACAAATATTTGATGCTGCTAATGTCAGATTGATACCCACTCCTGATCAACAAGCCATCCCAGCCAAATGATCCTTACTAAACTCATGGCTGTGTGTCTTCATTAGGTGTTCAGGGGTGGTTAGTCCATCCAAATGATGTTTTTTAAATAGGGTTCACAAAGTGAAATAATGTGTTGATGTTCACTCATTTGACTAAGGATATGCTAAGAGACAACAGACTTTTGTTGGTTAAATCAAGAACTAGTTTGAGGCCAGGAATAGTCACACTCACATGAACACAAACTGATGATTGATGGGTGATAAACATTAGCTGATAATGATGATACCAACAACAATCACATATCGAATGCTTATTATGCACCAGGCTCTCTGAAGAGCTTTGGACACATCATCCATTTATCCTCCTAACAGCCTTATGCAGTAGGTACTCTTCCCATTTCAGACTTGAGGAATGTGATGGAACGGGGACCAGGGCACATGCTGCTGTTCGCAGTAGGCAGCGAGCTGTGTATATTTAAATTTTTGGCTGCTCCCTCTCTGCTCTCCCCAGTTGTCTGATTTCTGTCTTCCCCCCTCTCTCTCCTGAGCCCCTTTCTGCCCCCCTCACTCCTTTTCCTTGTTCTTGGGATGGCTGTTTTGCACATTCCCAGTGTGAACTGGCACTAGCTGGGCATGCACCTGGGGTCTTCCTGTATTGTACAGCTGAGGCAAGGCGGGAGCATGGCCAGGCAGTTGGGGCAGGAGTCTGCCTGTCAGGAGACCCTCCCTTCCTCATTGTACATCTGCCTCCTGTGCACCTCCGCATCCTCCCCAGGGTGTCTCCATCCTTCACCACCATCTTCCTCCCTCCATACTTGTTTGCAGCTGCAGTTCTGCTGAGCTTGCTAGGTGGAGTAGGGAGAGGTTCAGCCTGAAACATCTTCCTTTGCTGCCTGGCCAGGGGAAGAATCCTTGGACTCTTTCTAGCTCTTTTCTGGCTCCAAGAAAGTAAATTAGGGATCTTGTTCCTCATCCTCTCTTCCTTGACTCCTCCCCCCCCCTTTTAAAAATATTCATTTATTTATTTTCAAGAGAGAGAGGGAGAGAGAGGGAGCAAGCATGCATGGAGGAGGGCAGAGGGAGAGACTGTCTTAAGCAGATTCCTCACTGAGCAAGAAGCTCAATCCCATGACCCCGAGATCGTGACCCAAGCCAAAACCAAGAGTCAGGCACTCAGCTGACTGAGCCACCCCAAGTGCCCTTTGACTTTACTTTCCCCGAGGGATGTGAGGAAGGTGTTGGAGCACAGAATGGGGCTGGGGGGCCTAAGTTAGCAAATCCTAGAGCACTCAAGGGGCTCACTCACTAAGATGGCATCTTATCCCACTATGCTCTCCCCAGTGGTTCCTTCCTGGGAATTCAAGGGTAGCCTTGAGACCCAGGGGAGTCCATTCCAATGTCACCTTCTGTACAGTGAATTGAGAACTAAAGGGGCATGCACCTTAAGAGCCTTAGACAAATGACTGAGTGACTGAGTCAGCACGGGGACCATGGCCATGGGTAAGCTAAAGGCTGGGGGTGTGGCAGACAGGAAGGCCAGTGAATAGGAAAGATTGTGTTCTCCTCAGATGCTGGGGTCAGGAGTGTCTTACCTCTACCCCCACTGCATGTATGCACATGTATGCAGAGGGGCTTTACCTAAAGAGACAGGGGGCAAGGGGTCCAGATGAAAAAGGGCAGGGGAAGCTTCTCCTACCACCAAGGTGGGAGTTGGGAGTCAGGGTTACAGAATAAGAGATAAGCAAACTAGCATTATGAAAAAGGTCTGGAACCATGAGAAGTGTCTCAGACCAATGCTCAGAGCTGGATTCTAGTGGCAGCTCTGCCAACTTGTGACCTTGGACAAGTCACTTTGTCTCTCTGTAGGGCCTCAGTGTTTTCACTGGGAAAATAAGGGGATTCATTTACTCAACGAGTATCTGCTCGGAGCCTCCTCTGAGCCAGGCACCATTTTAGGCGTGGAGATTCAGATGTGAGCAGAGCAAAAATCTTTGTTCTTAAGAAGCTTTCTTTCTGGTGGGAGGATTGAACTAGAGGGGCCTTCTCCAGTTCCTTCCAGTTGTAAAATTCTGTGGCCTCTTAAGAAAAAACCCTCTTCAGTAGAACCTCAGAGCGATGAAGGGAAATGAACAAAGCAGATAGCTAAGGGTGGGTCAGGGATGCCTCGAGGGATGAGAGCTGAAATTACTGAGGAGTTTGATGGAGTTTGAAGGCCGGCAGAAGGCAAGGGGCTGAGAGACCAGGTGAATCCCATATTTAAGACAAATGTGTCCTAGATGTTATGAAGGCTCTGACTGGCATACAGGCTACTGACCGTGGGGAAGTGAAGGGGAGGGCTGCACAATTGCCTCACACAAACGTTCTTTGCCCGCAGACCCCACCATCTCCACCTCTGGCCTGGATGAAGCCTCTCCTGCCAGCCTTGGGAAGCCTTCGGTGGAGCCAGAGTGCGGGTCAGGGTCCTGCAGCATTGGAGGACTGCCTGAAACCGAGGGGCAGCCTCCTGTGGCCCCGCTACCCCTCTTCTTCCTGACCCTGGAGGCCGACTGGGCGGAGGCCAGAGCTCGCTGGGGGCTGGCCTGGGAGGCCCACGTGTACGGGGTAGGCGCGCTTTTCGGCCTGGTGGCCCTGCTGGCGCTGCTGGCCCTAGCCCTCTTGCCCTGGCGCTGCCCGCCCGGCGCCCCCTGCCTGGCGCTGCTGGACCTGCTCCTGCTGTCGGCCGGGACCACGCGGGCCTTCCCGCTCTTCTACGACGCCTACGGCCACCGCGACCGGCTGCCCCCGCTCGCCTGGCTGCTGCTGCAGGACCTGCCGCTGCCCTGCCTGGCCGCCGGCCTGGGCCTGGCCTGCCTGCTGCTGGCCCGCCCGCGCGCGCCGCGGTGTCCCGCCGGGCTGGCCACGCTGCTGCTCCTGGGGCTGGGGCTGGCGGCCGCCGCCGCCGTGGGGAGCGCCGCCCACCGCCCGCTGCGGCCCCTGCGGCTGGCCTCCCGCGGGCTGCACGCCTTCCTCGCCGCCCTCCTCTCCGGGCTCCTGCTGGCGCTGTCCTGCTGGGGCGGCCGGCGGCGGCGGGCCGGAGCGCCCCTGGGAGGGTCTGGTTTCAAGGGCGCCACCCCCGTCCCGCAGGCGCGCAGCCCCTTCGCCCCGCGCGAGTCCTGGCGGCGCGCGGCCCGCACGGCCCCGGTGGCGGGCACTTTCGGGCTGCTGAGTGGAGCCCTGCAGGGCTACGAGGTGCTGCACGCCTTGGGCTATGGCGGCCAGCCTGGCCTGGAGGGACCCTGGCCCTGGTGGGCCTTCCAGCTAGGCCTGCGCTTGGGCGAGGTGGGCGTCGCGCTCCCGTTGGCGCTGCTGGGCCTCTACCCGGCGCTCAGCAGTCCCCGTGTGCCGCCGCGCTGCTGGGCCAAGCTCTTCCGCTTGTCCCCGGGCCACGCGGCCCCGCTGCTGCCCGGGGGCTGGGTCACCGGGCCTCCAGACAAGGAGCCCCTGGGTGGCGCCATCGCCCGTGGCGACGCGGAGCTGCTGCAGCTGTGCGCCCTGGCTGGGCCAGGCCCCGATCTCCTACTCCAGGGAGGCGGCTGCCGGGGCTTCGAAGGGGCAGGGGCGGCGGGAAACCCGGCCCCTTCTCCGGCCTCCTCCCCCTGCAGCGATTACACCGTGGACTTCCGCCCGCCCTCCCCAATCAACCTGCGGCGCAGCATTGAGGAGGCCCTCTGCAGCGAGGCCCTGCTCACGCCCGGCCTCTTCCAGGGCCCTGCCTTCGGGGAAGCCCTGCCTGGGCTCGGCCTCTACCGCACCACCTCGCTGGGGGCGAAGACGCGGGCTGGGCCCAGTGGGAGGTCTGAGGAGGCCCCTGGCTCCTCTGCGCCCCACGAGCTGCCCTCTCCCGGGGCCTGGCCCGCAGGCAGCAGCGCCTCTTCTGGCTCACTGTGCGGACTTTCGCGGGACAGCTCGTCCATGCTGCTGTGCTCCAGCCCGGACAGGCCTCCACGCTGTCCACTGGTCTGTGTCCTCAGTCCACCGCGGCCCTCAGGGCGCAGCCCTAGCCTCCCGGGCTCAGGCTCCTACCAGGCTCTGTCCCCACCCTCCCGTGACTCCCCAGAGCCCACTCCTGAGCTCCAGGCCGCAGAGGCTTTGCTGCAGGAGCAGTTCCTGGATGCCTGCCGACAGATCGATGAGCTGAGTGTGGGCAGTGACACCATAGACCTGTGAAGAGGCAGCCCCCTGGCTGCCCCAGCCTATGCCCCCTCCTGACGCCTGCTCTGCCCGAGACCTGCACACTGTAACCCTTCCCCAATCCTGCCTGGCTCAGATACCTCCCCCTGCTTCCTTCCCCATCCAGGGGTCCCTGGGTGGGTGGGTCAGCAGCCAGGTTTTGTTGATTGGGAGTCAGTGCCACCTCCTCTGGAGCCCTAGGTGCGGATCCCTCAGCTGCAATGCTAGGCTGGCAGGGGTCCCACTTTCCTTGGCATTCACCAGCAATAAAGTTCCAAGGTGCTCCACTCCTGACCACCACTCCCCATTCTGGTGCTGAGTGAGAGGGGCTGTCCTCAGAGGACCCTCAGACTGGCTTCAGTCCCCACACCCACCTCTGCCATGCCCAGGAATCCCATTACTGTGTGAGTGAGACTCCCTGTCCTCCACAGGGTCCTTCCCCATAGAAGGGTCCCCCATAGAAGGATCCATGGCCCATCGAGGAGACTCTACAGCAGTTGGGTGGGAGGTGAGCGCTTTCAGAGTTAATTTATCAATAAAATATTTTCAGAGAAAGGTCTGATCTTCTTGGAAAGGTTTAGATGAGTTAACAATAGCAGCAGTTCCATCAGAACTGAAAGACAAGCAGTGTTTGGGTGGGATGGCTTCATCTTAGACCCCAGTGACCTTCACTCCTGACTGTAAGAAGCCTTGTCCTACAGCTGGGATGAGCAAGGGCCCTGGGAGTGACCCCTTGAAAACACTCTGACTCTCTGGGAAGTGGCTTGTCAGAGATGAAAGAGGCCCTGAGAAGTGAGGCGGGAATGCTATAGTCTTTGGTGGAAATGTCTGCATCCCTAGGAGCCTGGCCGCAGGCTGGGGTGGATAGCTGGCTAGGGATGTGTTAGTAGTAAAGTCCTTCATGGAAACATTGATACACGTGTCAAGGGCTTGATTGCGTTGAGCTGGGATCCCCAGCAATCTCCCTGCCATGTTCCCCGGAGGAATTCACAGAGGACACTATCTGCTCTACCTACCAACAGGGCCTTTTCAAAAGGTTGGACTTAACAACCCTCTTATCCTGCACTCATCTCCCATAGGTGTAGATCCTCCCTGAAGAAAGGCCCCATCCTACCCACCAAAGCAGAACTGATAGTGCAGAGACCCAGGCACACCAGGCACTCTGTAACCTCTCCCTCGTCCAGAGCATTTGGCTCTGAGCTCTGTAGTGTGCATTTGCCACTTGGCTAAAATGCAGTAAGTTCAGAGAGGCACTAAAACAGGGTCATAGATGAGGTTTGAAAATGAAAATCTGGCAGTGCTCTGGCAGATGTCTTAACACATCACAGGGAAACCTATAGGGGCATAACATACCAGGCTCAAAGTGGAAAAACAGGAATAGGAGTGGTTTTGTCTCCGACTCTGCCGATCAGCTTCTGGGGATTTGAGAAGGGAGGCCGGGGAGTCAAGAGGAAAGCAGGCAGGGAGGCCGGGAGGGGTGGGCCCTCACCAGACCAGGCCCATGTGCCAGTGGGAGAATGAAAGCACCACTCTCCTTGCACCTGAAGATCTGTCTTGCCTGACAGGAATGTGCAGGGTCTCAGACCTCAGAAGGAGGAAGAGTCAGTGATGTTTGGGGAGAGTGAGGGTCATAGTAGGGAAGACCATGAGAAGCAGGTGGGACAGGCGCCGCTGAGGGATAGGATGAGAGTGGTTTTTGACTGTATCTCCATCACCTGGCTCAGCTTGGCTCAGAAATTCTTGCTGCATCGTCACTCTGGGCTGAGGCCCAGAGAGCTGCCAGCCTCCTAATTACAGGCATTTCTCATTGGTGTCGTTGTGGCTGTAGCACACCCAACATTGGAGCTGCTTTATACCATGGAAGGGGTGCTTGCTGCCTGGAAAAATTGCTCTTTTTCTTCCTCACCAAGCCTTCCATCTGCCTCTACTCACACCCAACTTCTTTTGGCCACCTCTTCCTCACTCAGATGCTTGCCAGCTGGCTCATTCATTCACTCTCCCCACCAGGGATCCTGGGGTTCATGCACACAGGCTCCAGCAGAGCAGTCCAAGCCCCACATACCCTCCCGAGTCAGTCTGTCAGTCCGTCTGTCTGTCATTCCTCCCCTCCCCCTCCACAGACACCCATTCACAAACTCCTTTACTGTCTGGAAGCTGTAGATGGGGCTGACGAGATGGGGTTGGGGAGGTGGACTACAGCTCAGTGTTCACCAGCTACAGCACTTTGGTTTTCCTCAGCAAGAGCTACCTCAGCCCTTTGACTTTATAAAGAGGCCAAGACTTTGGTGTGACAAGCCCTCCCTTTCGTCCCGTGCCTCAGCCCTCACCCAAGCAGGTTTCCCAGAAGAACCCAGGTAGATCCTAATGCATACACCCTTCAGTTTCAATTCTGAGTTCCTGCAGGGAACTGAGAGACAAATTCTTTCATTCATTCATTCATTCATTCATTCATTCTCTTTAAAACATTTTATTGAATGTTTACAATATATGAGGTGCTGAGGAAAGAGGTGAACGAGGTGGGCGCCAGCGCTAAACTTATTAAGTGAAGGTCTTTGTGGGTAGGCAGACGCTGATCTAATCATATAGGAGGGCCTGACTGGCCCAGTTGGCAAAGTATGCGATTCTTGACCTTGGGGTTGTAAGTTTGAGCCCTATTTGGGTATAGAGATTATGTAAAAATAAAATCTTAAAAAAAAGAATTAATCATATAAATAATTACAGTAGCACTAATGGGTTATGAGAAGTGCCAAGAATAAGAAGGAAGTGGTATTCTAAGAAGGTTTGGCTTGCAAGGGGGAGTGGAACCAGAGGGATGGTGCCTGGGAGGTGGACTGGGAGAGAGCACACAGCCCAGGCCTCTCTTACTTCCTTTCCAGGCTCCTGCACAGTGATGGATGAGGGAGAAGCCAACAGTTTATTTCCCCTGGAAGCCACGTTGCTGATGTGGTGCAGGGCACCACAACTCCTGCTATTTAATAAAGAACACTGCATGTGTCCTGGGTAGATGGATGAGTAAATATTCCTGACTGAAGCACCACGTGATGTCCCTAATGTGAATGGGTAGGAGAGGACTGGGCTGAGGTTGAGGCTGGGAGACTGAGATGGGGGGCCAGGTCTGAAACTCCGGAAGTGTAGATGGGGTCAGCAGTGTGGTTATCCTTCCCTACAGGCACAGAAGTCCTCCACATTGTGGGTGGCTGCTGCCCCCTGATGGGCATAGGCAGACAGTTTTGTCCTTTAAGGAAGGTCTGAGTGAGAAGTACTTAGAATTGTGGGGCATCCCTAAGAGGGGTGGGAAGAGCCTTCTTAGGATTCTTTTCCCTCTGAACACTGCAGCCAGCACTGGGAAGGCCTCCCTATAGCTAGAGCCCTGAAGCTTGCAGTTAAGTCTTTGGAGATAGAATTTTGATTTCTAAAGTGGTGAAGAGGCAGGAGAGAAGGCAAAAAAAAAAAAAAAAAAAAAAGAGGGAGGAATTTGGAATCCCAAACCGACTTTATTCTTTTTTTTTTTTTTTTTTTTATTTACGATAGTCACAGACAGAGAGAGAGGCAGAGACACAGGCAGAGGGAGAAGCAGGCTCCGTGCACCGGGAGCCCGACGTGGGATTCGATCTGGGGTCTCCAGGATCGCGCCCTGAGCCAAAGGCAGGCGCCAAACCGCTGCGCCACCCAGGGATCCCCCAAACCGACTTTATTCAAATGACACATCCCACTTCCTTTGTCTATTGGTTCTGTTTATCCGGGATAGGATTAACCCCATAGCCTTAAAAATCTGCTTTGTATTTCAGAACTTCCTCTCTTGAGTTATGTGTTTAAGAATACCTGGCATTTTCTTTTGAGCATACATTATTTACTTGGTGGTAGGGCTTCATAAATCTGATGTTAAGTGTTCAGGCTCCCCCCCCCCCATTACTATCAACCAGTCATCCCATCCATCCAAAATGTATTGAAAGTAAATGGGGTTTGAAGAGAATGGGAAATTGCTTTTCACTGTACCTTTTGCACTTTTTGAACTTTCTACCTACCATGTGTTCAGGTTATACTGTTGAAAAGTTATTACTTAAAAAGTGCATTCTCAGTTGCAACCCCTGCAGGGTGTGGCAGTCTTGCACACAGGTCAGTTCCTGAACCCAATGGAATGGCAAGTAGTCTCTGCCTTCTAGGTTCTGGGAGCACCCAGATCTACTGGTGGGGTGAGATCCCTCAGCCTTGGATCTGTCTGATAAGCTGACCTGAGGGAAGTTTCTCTCCTTTCTCTGGGAGGACCTGTGTTCTGGGTCTCTATGTGTGTATGTTATGTTTGCTTTGGGTATGTTCTCATGGTATCTTGTAGTGTACATGCTACGATTTCTTTGTAAGTTTTTAAAATTAATGTCTGTCTACCCCCCACTAGACTTCATTCTCCATGAGAGTAGGGACTAGTGTCTTTTTTTAGCTTACCAATTTTATCCCTAGTACATAGTAGGAGCTCAGTAAATATTTATTGAATGAATGATTGTTTGTGATCTGTGTCTGTGCGTGCTTTAGTAGCTGCAATTTGTGAACTGTTAGAGGCACAGTTATAGCTATCTGTTATAGTGTGACAGATGTCTCATATTCTCTGAAAATATGAGGATTGTTAAAATGATGTGTACGATGTATGCATCTATGTGCATTCTGGTTGCATTTTATACATATAATTGGGAGTCTGTGGTGACAGTGAAGAAAGAATTTATTAAGTATCAATTATATGTCAGATCTTGGGTGAGACCCCCGAACAAAAAACGACTTCCTCTGCCTGCTGTAGTACTTTGGGATCACCTCCTGGAAGTGAGATTTAAAATTTTTTTTTTTTTTAGTTTATTTATGATAGTCACAGAGAGAGAGGCAGAGACACAGGCAGAGGGAGAAGCAGGCTCCATGCACCGGGAGCCCGACGTGGGATTCGATCCCGGGTCTCCAGGATCGCGCCCTGGGCCAAAGGCAGGCGCCAAACCGCTGCGCCACCCAGGGATCCCTGGAAGTGAGATTTTAAACTGGGTGGGAGTGGGTATTTACCCCAAAGATATAGATGTAGTTAAACAAATGGGACACCTGCACCCCAATGCTCACAGCACAATAGCCAAACTGTGGAAGGATCCACAATGTCCTTCGACAGATGACTGGATAAAGAAGATGTGGTCTATACCTACAGTGGAATATTACTCAGCCATCAGAAAGGATGAATACCTACCATTTGCATCCCTGTAGATGGAACTGGAGGGTATCATGCTGAGCAACTAAGTCAATTGGAGGACAATCATCATGTGGTTTCACTCATATATGGAATATAAGAAATAGTGAAAGGGACCATCAGGGAAAGGAGGGAAACTGGGAAAAATTAGAGAGGAAGACGAACCCTGGGAGACTCCTCTAACTCTGGGAAACAAAGGAAGGGTTGCAGAAGGGGAAGAGGGTGGGGGGAAGGGGTAACGGAGCGATGAGCGTTAAGGAGGGCACGTGATGAGATGAGCATCGGGTGTTATGCTATATGTTGG